GGGTGTTCTCCGGGCGCGGACGCAATCGTTCGCCGTCTGGCAGACGGCCTAAGCATAAGGGTCTTCTGTTTTCGATCGCTTTGTTCATCCGTTTCCTGATTTTCAATCAATCAATCAAGCTCTATTTGGTATCATTCAAAAGCCTGCATTCTCCTCTATAGTCAGCAATATTCAGTAATACCTCTAAGCTCATTCCAGCCGGATTACTGATTGTGAGTTTGATCAAATTTTCTTCAAATACCGGCTTAAAATGCAAATTCTTTTCTGATTTCTCTTTTCAAAATTCGAAACTTCCATCAAATCTATTTCACGTGATTTCACGAAACTTTTCCCCCAAAAAAATTTCATTATTCATTTCACCTCGTTCTCACCGAAGGGATCACTTATGTGAGTAACTTGTGACTCTTTCAGAAAAAGCCTAAAAGAGGTTTCACCTCAAAAACCCTTTTCAGAGAAGGATTTTCTTAAAAAGAGAAAAATCTTTCTGTTTATGATTGAATTTTCGTGAGCAGATGTTGCGAATCTTTCTCAATTTTTTTCCTAAAAAACGGTGAACGGCTAAACAATTTATTTTCGTTCTTTTTTTTTCTTGGTCATTTGAGAAACGAATGTTTATTTGAGCAATGTTCGCAGACTAATTTTTAGATTTTTTTTTCTTAAATTTAAATTCTCCAATTTCAAATCCAAGTTTTTGTGAGAAAATGGTTGATTTTTTGAACCTAATCATGATCAAATTAGTAGTATTCTTGCTGAATTACTTGCCTCACTTGCCTCTTTTTGGATTGTACAATTGTACAAATTAATCTAGCAAATTTTGAAAGCTAAAACCAAGAACAAATTAAACTCAAGGCAAGTGAGGCAAGAGCTTATTGTCATATAGTTTTTGACTAGAACAAGATCATTGCTAAATTTGATTTTCTTTACAAAATTCGGATCTTGAATTTCCGGGTGTTTTGAACGCATCGTCAGACTTTGAAAGCCTATAACTTTGTCCAGAGATTATATTTTTCTTAACTTTTTATATCATTGTATAGAGGACATTTCAGGCTTTCAAATGATACCAAATAGAGCTTGATTGGATAATCCAGTCCAAGAAAATCATAGCCAACTCGGAGCAAATGAGGCCTATCCAACTTGGGTGTCGTGTCGCATGGTTTACATGAGAAAGAAAACTCCAATCAAGCTCTATTCAGTATCATTTGAAAGCCTGAACTGTCCTCTATACAATGCTATAAAAAGTTAACAAAAATATAATCTCTGGACAAAGTTATAGGCCTTCAAAGTGTGAGGAGCCGTTCAAAATACCTGGATTCCCTCAAAACACCCGAAATCCGATATTTCTTTTAGAATTGATAACGTATTTAAATTTATGAATGCTGAAAATAGCACTTCTTTCAAAATTGGATTTTTCTTTCTCATGTAAACCATGCGACACGACACCCAAGTTGGATAGGCCTCATTTGCTCCGAGTTGGCTATGATTTTCTTGGACTGGATTATCCAATCAAGCTCTATTTGGTATCATTTGAAAGTCTAAAATGTCCTCTATACAATGGTATAAAAAGTTAAGAAAAATATAATCTCTGGACAAAGTTATAGGCTTTCAAAGTGCCAAAAATTTCAGCCGAAAATTTCAGTTCTTTGTGAGTGGATTTGTGTCAAAAGTTATCCTTATCAGTTTTTTTATCAGTTTCTAGTTTTTTTAAACGGCTAACATTCAATTAACTTTCAAAAATCATAACTTTTTTATTTTTTTCTTAAAAAGCAAGAAATGTTTCAAGTTTTCCCTAAAGAAATGATTCATTATAGGAGATTCGTATAAATATTTTCCCCACAAAAAGTCGACTGTGATTTCCCTAAAGGATTCAACCTAACACTTCCCGATTCTCAAATATCGTTGTCGTCTTTTTCTCCTTTTTCTTTTTCTCATAGGAAATGATTCCTTTCTGACACCGCCATCTTTTCCACTCAAACCCTCAAGGTAATTAGTGAACCTTTTCGATTTGTGAGAGCAAAAAAAAAAGAAAATGAATAAAACCCCACGAATTGACGAAGAGAAAAACCACAATTTAAATGGCGATTTTTGAATTTTTTGAATTCGATTTGAAATTTACATTTCGATTCTTTTGGTTTTGTGAATATCTTATAGGATATCTTTTTCAATGCCTAACAAATAGCCATTGAGTACATTAAATCAATGCCTAACAAATAGCCATGAAGTACTTTTCGTCTTGCTTTGCATTGCCGTACCTGCTTTGCATTGCCAAGTTTGAGTCTCTAGAATAAAACTTATCCCTTCGTTTTTGGTTCTAGACCCTCGTTGTCGAGTTACGAGCCCCAAACTGCAGGGTACCACAAAATTTCCCATACAAAATGACCAAAAAAACCGCTAAAACTAAATTTTAAAAATTTGAATTAACACGAATATTAGATAAAAAGTACTTGCTACGATGCTCGCACCTCGTAGATCCTTCCAAAAACTGATTTCAATGCGCTAGATTGCTAGATCTCAAAGTTTTTACAATCTCTTTGATACTAAAAGTCTATTGGATCTTTCTCATTCTTGAAAGTTCTCATTATTGCTTAAAAGATTGAACTTGAAGTCTCAAGACTTCGCTGCTTGTTTAAACAAGCATCAATTAAAAGCTTTGTTGTTCAAGATTGTTTCAAAGCTGTTCTAGCTGTTCTAGCTGTTCTAGCTGTTCTAGCTGTTCTAGCTGTTCTAGCTGTTCTAGCTGCTCAAGCTGTTCTAGCTGTTCTAGCTGTTCTAGCTGTTCTAGCTGTTCTAGCTGTTCTAGCTGTTCTAGCTGTTCTCAATCTATTTTCTTCAAACTCTAACAACAATTTGTTATCTGGTAGTTAGATAACAATTTAGTTAGATAACAATTTGTTAGCTATTTGTTATTTCTCTCAGAAATTGCTCAATGAATCTTTTCTCAAGACTCTTAATAATTCAAATAGCAAATATTCGATATCTGGGGTTCTCTCAGAAACATTTTCAAGTAGAGAAATTGCTATTTTATCCATTTTATCCATTTTATCTTTAGAATATTTTGTTGCCATATTTGGGAGAAAAAAAAAGAAAAAAAGAACTGCGTGGGATCTCAAAAAGAGAAAAGTAGAAAAAAAACGATTCCCATTTAATTCCTATCTCATTCATCCTCACGAATCATTTATTTAGACCTAATTTGGGGAAAAAAAGAGAAAAACTCTTTTAAAAACTTAAAAACCTAAATGATCTCGATGATGGATTTGTTTGTTCGCTTTTTGAGAGAAAACTTTCATTCTTTTCATTTTCATTGGGGAACTCGTTCGAATTTTTGACGGATTTCCATCGCTCAGATGACCGGCTTTATTTTATAGCTATTCACAGATTAAAACCCGGACTAGTGCTGGGTATTCTATGGGGAATTAAGCTAAAGCCCAGCATCGGCAACTTGCAACCAGTTAAACGTAGACGAAGAACTTTTTAGTGCTGCAATCAGTTAAACGAAGATTTTAAAGCTCTTCAACTCTAGAATTTTGTTTTCTCGACTTTGTTTGAAGTTTGAAATTGAAAAGAGGTTTGAAATTGAACCAGAATGTTTTAAATGAAAACTTTTTTTGCTTTTCCATTGCTTTATGTACAATTGTGAAAAAGAATTCACAGTTTTTCACTCAAAAAAATTCATATCGTATTTTCTCTTCTCCCGGCACGAGTTGATGCCTATTTTACGGTTGCCAAGCTTTTGCAGAAGCTCAACACTCAAATCCCCCACTAGATCTCATCGTTAGTTCCATTTCCGACCCCACATCGATAGATTCTGATAAGCGGTTCTCGAGATTTCGAGGAATTTAGGCAAAGCTTTTGGTGCACTACTATTAGAGAAAATACGATAACCAAGAAAGTGCTGTATCCATTTCCAGGGTTAAACCATCTTGGGACCGTGTGCTTGCTAGCATTCTATGAAGTATAATACTTAAATACCGTAATTATTCCAATAGAAGAACTCCCTTTAGACTTCTGAAGACAGCGATCATAGAATTACGGTATTTAAGTATTATACTTCATAGAATGCTAGCAAGCACACGGTGCCAAGATGGTTTAACCCTGGAAATGGATATAGATGGCACTTTTTAGCTAAAGCTAAAGGGAAATGCTCTAGTTTACTGAATTTAGAATTTATTCATAATATTACAAAATCCCGTATTTTCTCTAATAGTAGTGCATCCCGGCGAGTCGAGTTGATGACCATTTTACGGTTGCCAAGCTTTTGCAGAAGCTTAACACTCAAATCCCCCACAAGATCTCATCGTTAGTTCCATTTCCGACCCCACATCGATAGGTTCTGATAAGCGCTTTTCGAGATTTCGAGGAATCTAGGCAAAGCTTTTGGTGCACTACTATAAGAGAAAATACGATATGTATGATCTGACTTGAGCCTAGGCCTGCACGGCACACTGATAGGCTACAGTGATCTTGCTCAAGGCTACCTTGTTTCTGCTTATTATATACCCTTTCTTTGATTTTGATATGATTAAAGATAGAATTTTTTTTTAGAGAAAATACGATAGATTTCTTTAGCTTTATAAGTCAAGATCGGTATATAAAAAAGCTTAATTTTCTAAAGTTTTCTCTAAAACTTTCTTCAGCTATGAAATTTTGATAATAGCAATTGTAAAATGAATTTTAAAAAAAGATTTAGACTACACTTTTGATTTAAAAATAATTACAATAATTGTTTTTTTGTAAGCAAAAAGGCTCTCTTTATACGCAAAGGTCAGAAAGATTGAAAAATGGACAAAATTACCGGTGTTGAGGCTCATTTTCGAGAGCATTTATGTCAAGGAAAACATTTAAAACTTTAACACTTATTGAATTTCTTTGAATTGAATTCTTTCTTTGAATTCTTCCACTTTCTTTTCGCTCTTTCAATCTTTTTTAGCTTGAATGACAAATTTCTGATCGTATTTCATCAAAAATCTCGATTTCAGGGTACCAATAAAGACGGCGCGTCTGCAATGATCGCGGCCGGCGCGCGAGGCGCACTCACATCCAACAGGTGAGCAAGAATGATAGCAAGAATCAAAAAGAAATGATATTTATTTGTTTTGCTAACAATTCAATGCATCATCATTCGCAGAAACGCTAGAAAAGAAAAAGAAAAGAAAACGCTTTTTTTCTATTTTCTAAATCTCTCTAAAGTGCTTGAATTCAATGTTTAAATTCAGAAAATTTCTTTTCTAATAGTAAGAGCTGATTTTAATTGAGGTAGTTGATAGTAGACAAAAAGAAGACAAAACTCGAAACCGCTCCAAATTCGATAAGTAAGTACAAAAGTACTACGAACTAAAAGAAACCTAAAGAAAGCTTTTTTCTATTTTCTAAAAGCCTAAATTCTAAAAATCGACTAACATCTTTAATAAATCAGAATTGGGATTTGAAATTTGAAAAGTTGACGTTGAAATCAAGAAAAACCCAAATCAACAAATGATTCCTTTTCCAGAAGAGACTTGTACTTGCTCGGTTGTTTATTGTTGATTTCCGCTTTGATCACAACGGGAGAAGCCAGTAATCTCAGGTTGGGCGAAAGTTTTTTTTTTTGATTAAACTTGAAAAAACAATAGGATCATTCATGAATGTTTAGATTGTGCGGCACGCGGTTAACGAAAGCCCTCTTGGCGCTGTGTCGGGGACAACTGTGTGCGGGTGGACTCGGCGGGATTCCCGTTGCTAAACGTGCTCCTCAAGCAGGTACAACGAAGTTTTAGTAATGAAAAAATCGAGCTTTTTAAACTTAGAACTCTAAAGTTATGAAAGAAAGAAAATGCTATGAACTCAATCTGAATGACTTAAATCTGTACTCAAACTGAGAGACTTGAGTCAGTCTGCGGTTGATCACCTCAGATTCCCAATTATCTAGCGTGAATTGGCTTAAATGAGCCAGATTCTCAAGTCCAAAAATAAGCCCAGTTTTAAGATAAAATTTTCAAAACCAGTTTCAAAAATAAACGCAAATCCTGCTGTACTTTGTGCTCAAACAGATGTGCACTCTCTGGCACACCCGATTCTTCATTTTACTTTGGTAAAAGCTTTCGTGACAATGAAAATTTCAATCGATCGCGTTTGTAAGGATACAAATTGCATCAAAAATCGCTTGCCTAACAAGTTTCTTCATTAAAACCCTTTCAGATGCAGACATATGGCCGATGAGTGCTCTACAAGGTGAAAGCCCAGCCATTCCCGATTTTCTCACCGTACACAAAGCCATGAAAAGGTAGGCAAAAATTTCAATTTGAATCTAAATCTAAATCTAAAGTCTATGAAAAATGAATAACCATGAAATTCCAGGGGTGGAGTGGCGACGGAGTGTTGCGAGCGGCGCTGCTCATTCGCCTATCTCAAGACGTTCTGCTGCGACGAATAGCACTGAAAGAAAATTACCAACATTTTTGCCTTCTTCCATTTGTTTCTTTTTTACGCAATTTTCCATCCTATTCTTCTATCATTTCATCCGGTCTGCCAGCCCACACTTTGAGAGATGAAACGCGTACTAAACTTCTCATTTAGTTTTGTTTTCTTTGAAGATTCTTTTCGAAGTGTGGGCTGGCCTTAGAATCGAGCCCCGTTTCCTAGTTTTTGTATTTGATGACCGTGATCTCCGAAAATGGGTACCTGCACAAGCTAAAATGTGACGATGATGCTTTGAACAGAAGTCGGTGACCCATATTTCAATCATGAAACCTTTGATGAATGTATGATTTGTGTTGAGTCAAACGATAAAATGTGTTAAATGGGTCGATCCGGGCGTCAAAGTGTTAAAGTATAAAAATTCTTTTTTCATACTTAGTAACGCTAACTATTTTATTTAACCGAAAAAAGGTATTAAGAACAACATATCGAAAACGAGTAAAAGTGAGATCACATACAGATTCGCATTTATGGAAGTGAAGGATTGAGCGACTTGTTGCTGTGAACTGATGGTTCTTGCGAGACGCTCTTCTCACGCGAAGGAGACTTTGAAGCCGAATGACGAGGCCTAAATTAATAACATTGTCTGATAATATTCCGGGAGTAATTACCACAAAGTGACTTCATAAAGAAAATCACTCTAACAAAAAGGGCTGTTTGATCGTATTTCAAAGAAAATAAACCGTACTGTTTGGAAGCCGGTGATCTACTTTGAGAACGCTCATCGCGTCGTGAACGATGTGGTGATAGTGAACGGCTTGAGCGAACTCTTGAACGAGATCGGCTTTCGCGACGAGAGCGACTAAAAGCTATTGGAAAAGGAAAGTTAGTAAAATAAACCAATAATCCCTATTGTTGCGCCTAGGTGAGAGCCGGCGGTTACTTCCAGCAATCGAAAAGTCTACACGGATTTCCCTGCCGCCAACCTAAAATAGTAATGGTTGAGTTTATGATAAAAAGTGACGTTTAAATCTCTAATGGAACGCACGTTAGCTCCCATCATCCGGTCTCGAGCACGAGTTGCATCTTTCGTCGTACCAAAGTAGACGAAAGCATAGCCCCTTGATTCACGACTGTAGTGATTACGAACAAGACGGATCTAAAGCAATAAAAATCACAATATTACCATTGATTTATTGAACCTGATCAACATCTCCATATCTTCCAAACAGCTTGCCAAGGTCCCTCTCACCAATTGTTCTTGGCAGATTGAAAACGCCAAGGCATCTAAAAAAAAAACTTTAAAACTTGCATACAAAGTACCTATTTGGCTCTGGATTGCGATCTCTATGCTGATGACGACGAGAAGTCCTGCTATAGCGAGGCGACCTAAAGGTGTAAAAGTTTTAAATTAGAACAAAGCGCTGAAATGAAAGTAATAAAGGTCAAAATACCTGCTACGAGAGCGTCGATACGTCCGCTCACGACTCATTGATGGCGAACGACTCACAGGGCGAGAAAGACTGCGGCTAGCACGCTGAATTGTCACGAAACATTGGGTTGAACGTTCGAGAATTTACGGATTGCTTTGCTTGGCTTTGGAATTTCTCTTGCCTTAATTATAAATTATGCTAGGTAATTCAATTTTCTTGGTGCACTAAAACAGTTAGACCTACAATCGACGCTAAATTTTAAAGAACCCTGGGCGTCGGTGCACAAGATCTAACTTTAAAAATTTTGTTGAACCACGTAATTAGACAAATATCCATTGCAAAGTGTTCTATTATTCTTACCACAGCTTGACAAACATCCCTCAGAACCTCTAAACTTTTGCATAGCTTGCTTTAGCGTTGGGTATGTTGTTGAAATAATTGAAAAGTCGAAATTCGGATTTTACGGAAATTCGGAAACACCTTGCGTCGAACCGGGCTACGGCTGAGCGATCGGCTCCTTCCTCTTCGAGAAACAGCCATTGCACGGTGCCTAAAAAGCCACATTCCCTCACTTGTTTTAGTTTTTTTTACATTTTACAGATATCAATAGACATGCTATCGCAAAATAGAAGAAGAATTATAAGATCTTTCAGCTTTATTCACAGATATGGAACGACAACTTGCAAATTTGAAAACACAAAATAACATGATACACCAAATAAGTTCAGAAATTAGCAGTTCATTATTACTTTTGCTTTGATTCGCCGCGGAAGCTCTTCCACTGGGCTTTCACTTGATCAAGTCCCTCATAAAAACCATCGATTACCTAAATCAAACAAAAATGTATGCCAACACAAAGTAAATTTACTTCTTCCTGGACGTCAAAAAAGATTCTCGGTCTCGTCAAATCTATCCTTGATCTCCTCAATGTAGGTGACGAAACCGTTCAAGTTTGAGCCAGTGAGTACGACGGTACCTTTGTCCTTCAATACAGTGAGTTGATCATTTAGATGTTGATTAGACGTATCAATGCCGCTCATCGTGACTTCTTCCAAGTTCATCCTAAACCAATCAATAGGCGAAATAGGTATATAGAAAAAAACCACTTTTTAAAATCAAGTTGCTTCACTGATGTGAATGCGTCGCCAACGGCCGTGCGGACGTACGAGCTTGTTTGTTCAATCGTGGCTCCCATGTTCCATTCAATCTTCATGACTCTAGCGACAATGGTCGTTGACAACTTGTAGAAGAAAAGTGGTATCTAAGGAGTTTCAAAATTGAAATACAAATTGCTACCTATACCTTGATAAGTCCCGTCACATCGTCCAAATCAACCCAGTGAGTAAAGACGTAGTCGCAAAGGAAAGAGATGATCGAGGTGATTACTGCCAGAGCCAACAATCCAAAAATGACACCTGTGCCCACCACGATGCGCACCCATTTAGCCACAACATCACGACCAGAACCGATAACCGTATTGGCAGAATCAATACCTGAAACAAAACATTAACAATTTATTCACCAAACACAAACCATAGTTGTAGAGGCTTTCGATGCGGCCCTTTGCAAAATTGGCGGTGTTGGCAACCCTATCGTAGAGAAGCATTGCGACTTCTTTCTAAATATAACGACTTTTCACTTTAAATCAAATCAGAGAAAAATCGTAAAAGAAAAATGAAAATGCGAACTTTCCGCTCGCACTTTTGCGCTTGCAAGTTACGGTAATACCCGACAAAATTTAATGGATACGGTGTATTTTTAGTGCATAATAGAATCACAGGAAGACAATCGTTGGCTTGGCCTTTACTGCCACCATAAAACAATAGTGATTCACCAGTTATTGCTATAGTTTTACAGTACTCTAAAAGTGTCCCAAGGGTACTATCAAAAAGTGACCCAATAACTTATTACCATAGTTTCGAGTGCCCCCCAAGCATTTCTCGACATTTTCGAATATTTTGTTCAAATTTTCGCTGTGTTAGGGTAATAACTTATTACCGTTCTTTCATAAACAAATTTTCGACACTCATTTATTAAACAAACAACTAAAGCTATTTTAGAAATTCTATACAAATACAATCGAAACAATAAATAGGATAGACAACAAAAGCCTTTTCATTAAAGGCACAAAGCACCGAAACAAAAGGACAACAAAAGGGGGGCAAATCAAAGACACTACTGAAAACATTGGCAAAACTATAACATACAAAAGTGAAAACATTAAACAAATAACAATAAAAACAATAATAGCGGCCAATTGACTCCATTTACTTTACTTGCGAGGGCTTTTGTAGGAAGATTGTTCCTTTGATAAACGATCGCCAATTCCAGAACTTGTAGAAGATGGAGTCCGTTGAAATGAAGATTTGGAAGTCGTCGTTGGTATTCTTGAAGGTTGTTCTTGTTCTGTTGATGGCTTGCGGACCATTGGGCGGATGAGTGAAGTTGAGCGTGTGGTCAAAAGATTTGAAGGTGACTAAAATCGAATTTACAAAAAATAAAAATCAAGCTGACTAATTTTTCCCCGGATAAAGGCCGACTTTTGAAGGGGACAACACATTGCTACTGTGATTGCCGAGATAGTTGAGGGTGCCTCGAGTTGGAAGAATGGGCTGTGATTCTCTAAAACGCGACATTTGAAATTTTTAATTGAATCACGTTTTATGAATACACCTTAAAATACGAAAACCTTACACTGTCCGACTCACTGAAAAGTTCCAAATGCATTGCGCCATTTCAGCTGATACTTGATTGCCAGCCATCTCCTTTATAAACCACAGTGCCATGCAACCATCGGCCTAGAGGCTTTGCTTTTTGTTGTTTAACAAAAACCAACCATTAAAACCGAGTTTATGAAATATTCCGAAAGATGATTTGACGGCAATGAGATATGTGCCGGGCTTGCTTGTCCAACAGCTGAACCCATCGCCAACGACTTTGGAGTCTAATTCATACTTTTAATTTTGTTTTATAAATCATATTTCTAAAACTCACAGGCAAATATTTTGAAGCACAATAAATCCTCCATCGTGGTAACAGTAGAAACAACGTGTAATGAATGGCCATCAGAAACGTGATGATGAAGAGGAAACTGAGCCAGAAGAACAGGAAAACGTAGAGTTGCTCATAAACGCTGTTGATGGAGATAAAGCAGTTTGCTTGAAGCATTTGATTTGGAGTCGTGATGTTCAGCGATCCTTTCTAAATGATCTTTGATCAAAGATAACCGAGTTCTAAAAAACCTCGTATCCATAATCGTCAGGCACATAACAAATTGCTTTCTTTGGAAATTTCCTCATCGATTCTTTGGATGGGCGAATAAAGACTTCCTTCATCAACTAAATAAAGAAAGAAATAAACTTAAATTTAACGATATTTTTACCTCAAATCCCCAGAAGATTGAAGTGCTATCAACCAGAAACATGCAGATTCCAAATTGAGCAATCAGGTTCAACACTTGGAGCCATTTTTGAACGACATACAGAAGTACCGCTAGTTGACCTTGTAAGCAGCGTCGTCTAAAAATAACAAATTGCGATTCAATAAACCATCAACCAAAACCACCTTTCTTGTGGAGATCCAAGACTGCGCAGCAAAACTCGCAAATTGCTTCAACTTCTTTCATTCTTTCTTCACCTTTCAATGATTTTATGCAACGAGCCTGTGAAATCGCCGAGACGGTTTGATTAACTTAAACAACGCTTTTAATAAACTAGAAGAACACACGTTTCTTACCATTTTTGAATGATAAAGCAAAAGCTGTCCATGCACATTTTGGAATTGCGAAGAGAACCAGTTGAAGAATGAACAAGTAAGGCATCCACTAAACCAAACGATGATTAACAAACATCAAAATAAATCTTTACTTGAAAGTTCCGGACGAAGAAGTCTGCAAATCCAACGGGGACGAAAGCATTCGGGCTGTTTGATGCATCATCCACAATTTGAAATCTTCCTTGGGTAAAGCAATACTCATTGTAGAATCCTTGCCAGATAGCTAAAGTTAAAAGATTAAAAAGTCATTAATGTAACAATTTACCAGGCTTCCCCGCCACAATACACTTCATTGGGTGACCGAAGTTTTGGAAGATCATTGCCAAACACATGAAGAAGGCGAGAATTGCATTCGTGATCACACAATTGAAAATGTCAACAAAATCGAAGAATGGCGGCAGCAAGGCCAACATACCGTCCGATTTCATCATCATCAAGAAAATTTTGTTAACCCAAGTTGAAAATAGCTCGACCACTCTAGAATGTACCGAATAAGTATAAAACTATTGCACAGAAAATTCAGAAATTATTAAAGTTTCTATAAAAGCTTTATACTTTCACATGTTCAAAGATTACAATAAGCACTGAAATTCCATGTAGCAATCGAATATAAAGAGAAAGCATCATATTTTCAGATAACTCGGGGTTTTTCATTTTCGGCTGCCTTGGCTTTCTTCCTGGTATCCTTGCTGATGTAATCGGCCGGGACCAAGTATCCGACAATATTGCGCCGACCAATCATTTCTCCAACAAAGAACCAAGCACAGATCTAAAGAATAAATTTTTAAATGACACAAAGGGCATGCCGAATTTTCCAAATTTAAAATTAAAAAAACGAACCTCCATACCCACGGCCACCGAAACAAGGAGCTCTCGAACAGTAAAATTTTTGTAGGTTTGACTTTGAACGTCTTTGCAGAGCTTTTGCCACTCGCTCTAAATAAAATGAATGATAGACAAAAGTGGTTTTTTCAAAGCAAACCTTGATTTTTGGAAGGTCAGAGCTAGTGGGTGGTCGTAATTCTTTGGCCCATACCTAAAATGAATACTAAACAAATGAAATATCACCGTCACACATTAATGTTTTAAATTATGCTCAAACTTAACCTCGGATTAAAAGAATTGTAAGCTGAATCATAGTTGCTTTATCAAAACAAAACGGTTACCTCTTTAAGTGTTCCGAAGCGGCGGGGAAATTGATTTGCTTGGTGACGATAAATTACTCCAAAGTTGAGGGCCATCTTTTCGAAAAAATTCAACGATCGAGACATGATCTAAAGTTAGATAAACATCTATATAGCCGACCTAGAGGAACTTAAAATAGAAAACGAAATGTAAACTGATAAAAGGTAAAATGATTGCTATGATTCCAGGTAAGGCGCCTAATATTTAAAAGTTAGGTGCTTTGGTGGTTAGGAGGGATCACTTTTGGCTTCGCTTCCGTCGAATCTAGTGTTTTGAGCGGTTCGTGTCGATACTTTCTTCTATTTCGGGGCAATTATATATGCTGAAGCGATTGGTGCTAATTTTAGAGTATTTCCAACATGTTTTAAGTTAGTATTGCAGCTTTGAGATGACGTTCGGTGGTTAAAGTACAGCAAGCTAGGACACAGGATAAATCATCGAATAGGATTATCAAAAACCTGCTTAAATTAGCGCCAATCGCTTCAGAATAGAAGAGAAGTATCGACACAAACCGCTCAAAACACTAGTTTCGACTAAGTAAGCCAAAAGTGGCCCCTCCCAACCACCAAAGTGCCAAAAGTTATCACCGTTTAAGAAGTTTTATATCATTTTCGGGAGTGGGACAAATGCGACTTTTTTTTGCGCACCCGGACATTTGCGCACCTTTTTTCCGCACTTAGCCCATTAGCGCACCTTTTTCGCGTTTTAAAAAGCTCTAAAAGCTAATATTAACCAATTTCTATTCTAAAAGTTGTTTTTCTAGGTAATTTTAGGGCGTAGAAACGAAATTTTGACATATCAGAGCTTGTGGAAAACCAAAGGCGGGGGTTTTACCAAAGAGAAAAGAAAGAACAATTTTCTGTAATTTGACCTAGCCGTTTTGTCTTTAAAATTGGTTCCACACGCTCTGTTATGTCAAAATTTGGAATTCGGACACCCTCAAATTACCTAGAAAACAACTTTTGGAATAGAAATTGGTTAATATTAGCTTTAGAGCTTTTTTAAAACGCGAAAAAAGGTGCGCTAATGGGCTAAGTGCGGAAAAAAAGGTGCGCAAATGTCCGGGTGCGCAAAAAAAAGGTCGCATTTGTCCCACTCCCATCATTTTCACAAGTTTAGCAACCCTTTTGCGTTTACGCACCGACAAAGGTTTCGTTCGAATGAAGAAAAACCCAACTGAAGATATATTAAGTAAGCTTATTTATTACTTGTTACTGTACCGTCGAAATATCCTCTTCATTCAACTGAGTTTGTAGATTCATTCTGTTTGGTTGTTTCTCTCATCTGACTTGTTCATTTTCAACCGTTTTATTACTTGCTGAGACTATATTTGTGCATTTTTAACTTCTGGAGCATTATAGGCATTGACCAGAGCCACGTTAAAACAGTTTCAGTAGCATTTTTTCCAAAAATCTACTTCGTAGACGGAAACCTTGTATTTTCTCCTTGTAACCTTGCAAAACCTCCTTCTTTTGTGAGATTTCCCTCTTTTTTCCACAGCTTGCCGAATTACGTCCTATCGCACCGCGTATCGAAGGAAAATAAACACTCTTGCGGTTTATCAGCCGTTCAATCTTTTTTTAAAACTTTTTATGTTTTATAAGTTTTTATTTTTTAATTTTCAGATAAAATGGGCTATGCTTTTCGAAGTTCAGCGGAGAGGCGACAACGGAATTGAACGATGAAGGCACCTCCACACCTAAAGGTAGTTTTTGTTGCTTCATAAAAATACTTTTTTAATCTTTTAACTTTTTAAGATTCTTTAAAATTCTTAAACGTTAGAAATATGATGCTTTCTTTTAAGGAAAATGCCGTGTGTTGGACATTGATCCCCCGTTCGCCCAACGTAGGAATTTCGAGGACCCCAATCACCGTGAATTGGTTAGGTTTGTTGAAATTTCTTTTTTGAACCAGTTTTTTTTCTAAAAGATTAATGAAATATTTCAGCACACCGAAAGCCGGCACCGACGAGAACTCCCAGGGCACTCCAACTAACAAAGCGAAGACGATGCAGCAACAATTATTCATGAAGAAAAAGCCCGATTTGTTGTAAGTTTTTTCGTGTTGGGCTTAATATTTTAATTAACAGATAAACGTTGGCTTTGATATTACTAACATTGCCAAGTTTTTGTTCCATTTTTCAGTGATATTAATGATTTACGAAATTAAATAGCCATCTATCTCAATTAAGTAAGGCGTATAAACGTCAAAAAATTTGCCACGGGGTTTTTCATCAAATTACGTTATTAGCAGTGAACCTACATTTTATAAAGTGTTGTTTTCAGGTTCTCAGAGAGCGACTTCCAAAACTCGGACAACTGTGAAGCGTCGAAATGGACAAGTAAATGCCGTCTATGTTTTAACTTCACATGTGCAAACTATTGTTGTCATTTTCAAATTTCATTTAAATTTATACATTTTCTCAGAAATCCGTTCACTAAATTGACTACTTTTAATTAGTACTTGCCATATTGTCCATATTTCTTATGAGAGTTTGAAAGCCTAATAAACTATTTATCTATTTGAAAAATTGGCCAATCGCAAGTGGGGGAGGGGGAGCGTTACCGCTCTCATGCATGGAAATTTAGATGAAATTAACACAAAAGATGTGATTGGTAAACTTGATTGGTATTGAGCTTTGACGGTTTGCGTTAGTTTCCCTTCAACAATCTATCTGGCCAAACGGACTGGTTGACCTGAAGAAAGTGTACAGCCAATAAATCGGCAACCTGTTAATAAGAGTTCTAATGTTCTCAGGTCACCTGTTGAACAACGATTGTCGTAATATCTATCGGCTCATCCTTTTCAGTTGACCAATTTACAACCCCCTAACCTTAAAATGATTTCCGCTACTTTGCCATTGGATATCTGGTGGGTGAGACAGTGTCTAGATCGAAAATGATTGGTTTTAATAGCCTAAAAGATCAATTTGGTTTAAAGCAAGCATTTTCATTGAAAAGTTTCATAAACTTTGTTTGAACATTTGAAGAAACTATGGTTTAGAGGTTTGATTATATTTTCAAAAGTGACCCTTCAAATCCCTCCAAACAAGACCATCTGCATTTGTGTGATCGGGACAATCATTTGCTCTTTTCATTTTCAAGATGCTTGGATGGGAAGGAGGGGATCCTTTGAAGCGAATGGCGCAACGAGTCCCCGACACTCTCAGGTCACCGAGCCGCCATAGAAAGGGGCAAAAGAGTTTGGATTTCCGTAAATCGGAAAAGATATGGTTTGAGAAATGGACAAGAAGTTTCAAACTGGGAAAAAAAAATAATGTTTTGAAGTTAGTTGCTAGAGGTATGCTCTTGACTAATGTCTTTTCAAGTCTTCTAAAACTACCGTAAAAAGCATTTTGATAACAATTTAGCTACTGTTACCTCTATCCTGTAACCGTTTAGCTATCAAAAAAGGTGATTGAAAACAGATTTTAGACAAAATCTCTGAAATCAGGCTGAACTAATCGCTTGAATAGTGAGTACTATGATTTAAAGTAATTTTATCATGACTTAATTTACCGTAAGGCTTTCATTTTGGTGTGCTTACAATAAAATATATTATAAAATAGTAGAAAATAGTAGAAAATAGTAGAAAATAGTAGAAAATAGTAGAAAATAGTAGAAAATAGATAAAATAGTTCAAAATTACAATAAAAGATAGTTATTTCATTCCAAAATTTGAAATATTTAAAAGATTTGAAAGGAATAAAAGGAGAAAGAAGAATTACGCCACTCTGTTTCCCTTTTCGATCTCTTTACAGTACCTTTGCCATATCTCGGCTCACTTGTGTACATCAAAGGAAAATCATTTCTTTGATCAAATATAGGGAGGGGCTCTCGCAGACCATTTGCACATTATCGTTGTTGCGCCACCCCGAACTGGGCTTGGGTTCCCAAATCATCATTATGCATTCACTTATGTAATGCCGATTTTTGAATTTTCAAACTTTATTAACTGAAGTTGACTGTTTCTTTGTTCATTGCTTGACATTTCTTTGTTCTTGCTTAGCCTTATTCTATTTATTCTACTTCTCATTACAGTACCTTTTGCTAGCCACTGTTAACTGTTAGCCACTGTTAACTGCTGTTAGCCACTGTTAACTGCTGTCAGCCACTGTTAACTGCTGTCAGCCACTGTTAACTGTTAGCCACTGTTAACTCTTAGCCACTGTTAACTCTTAGCCACTGTTAACTCTTAGCCACTACTAGTTATCGTATCCTGTTACGGTAACTTTTAACTTTTACTAGACCAAATTTGTTAGTTGACTTAACTAGACAATACTAATTAAGTCCAAATTTGTTTGTTATTTGTTATTTGATCGAGGATTGTAAACAGATTGTTTTCTGGGCTTTTTTAGCTTCAATCCGTGTACATTTCTGTACCTTTGTTATCCAGTGCTAGTGTTTTTAGTTATTCTAGCTGGATACGGTAACTTACTGGACTCACAAGCGTACAATCGACTGAGGATTGTGCATTTGAGTCTCTGGAGTTAATTTTTAGTTTCCTTTTCTTTAGTCCTTTTTCTTTTCGTCTATTTCACTTGATGATTGTTTAAATTTTGGTTTGATTCTGCTTTGATTTATTGTGAGTCTGAAATCTAACGATCTTTTAAATTAACGGAGTTTCATTTTGAAGTCATTTTGAAGTCATTTTGAATCTAATTATAAAATTTGAGCTTTATTATTTGATTGCCGAGATTCCTATAAATCGATGTGCCCGGATGATGTGGCCGGATCAGATGGGCACCACCGCATTTTGCGATCCAACCGCTCAGCAGCATGCGTTAAAGGTTTTGGTTTTAAAGAAATGAAATTAATAAACGAAAAGATCTAGTCATGAATTTACAAATAGATTTACAAAATTTCTAGACAATTTTCCTAGGCGATGAACGCGATGTCGATGTGGGGCCTTGAGCAGTGTCATCCCGGCTATGCGGCTACGTCAAAAGTCGATCCGGTGAGTGTTCCTAAAGAAGAAAATTTATGGAAGACTCGAAACTGAACTTTTATTAGTTTAAACTCAAAAGTATCAGTCAGAAAACTCAAAAAAACAAACCCAATTTCATTGTTTAGTCGAATCAAGCATTAGTCAATAGGTAGCGGTGGCATAGAACTTTCAAATTCTCTAGACTTGTCCTTTAACTCATCTAAACTAATAGGTTAATGCATAAGTCTTTTCGTTTTTTTCGTACTTCTGTTAAAAAGTAACAAATTCACCAATTAATCTATAGTTTGCTCTATAAAAAAAGTGTTTTTTTGTTCAATTTGCATCTTTTTAAATGAATTTCGGTTCACTTTCAAGCAAATTCGAGAGTGAAAAACGCCTTTTTCGTAAAAATCTATAAAAAACTCTACGGAAAAATTGGCTGAATGAATTTCTCTGAAATTTTGGCGAAATATCAAACGTTTTTTTTCTCTATCTTTTATCTATTGACACGAAGATAGGTTTTCTTTAGCTAAGGTGTCTAAACCGTTCCTGGGGGCCGGGTTCAGGTTTGGGTGGGGGGGTCGGGGCCCCGGCCTAAACCGCATCATCGAGTTAGCCCTCTTTGACTACCCGACTTCATACTCTCAAGAAAATCCAGGCATTAAATATTTTTAAACCCGTTTTAATGTTATTTTTGCAGAAAATAATTGCTTTTTCTAATGAAATCAACCGTAGTTTAATTCGTGCATTTGTTGGCTTGAAATGGCAGACGAAAAGGAACGAAAAGACTTATGCATCAACCTAATACATCAGTCAATGGGTAACTGTGTCATAGAACTTTCAAATTATTCTAGATTTGTCCTTTAACTCATCTAAACTACATTAATCAATAGGAGAGGCTAGAATTTCGATATCCTCTAGATCAGCAAGTTATTTATAGTTTATAATTAGCAAGACATTTCTTAAATGACAGTAAACCTCAAGTTAAGCTTTTTGAGAACAATTGAACAAAAGTACAACTCTTTAAACGTCTTTAGTAGACTAGCTTCGAGTAAGAAATCGTTTTACAAAGCCATTTCTAACAACTATTTATTGACTAAGAATAGATGATAAATTTGGGAACAACGATGCCTTTTCCCCTCAACCATTTCGCTCAACAGCTCTCAGCGGCTCAACAATTAGGCTTCACCCCCAGTCGCTCTAATCCCGAACTCCTCCCCGACTCCGTCAGAGTAGAAGAAAGAAGCCGATCCCAATTCCCGAGGAGTCAAAGATGAGAATTAGATAAATGATTTCTATTTTATTAAAGCAATGACGAAAGCTCCATCAACTCACTAATTATCCAGCTTATTGTTGGCAAATTGCGTAGAATCTGAGAATAGAATTCTGAGAATTCTAAACATGTCTAGCTATCTTATGAGTACTGTAACTAAGTACTCTAACTAAGTACTGTAACTAAACCATTTCAGATTTTATGCATATCGGGAACGCCGAAGACGGAACAATGACAGTGCGAAGAGGTCAAGAGAACAACGGAGACAAGCCGAAGATGTCAATAAGAGGCGGTGGGTTATCGAATTCTTGGTACTTTGCTTATGAAATTGCAAACACACACACTTTCTGGCACGCTATTCCATCTAATTTCTAGTTCAAAAACCCAAATAAAACAAGTAATTCGACTTCTTTATAGCTGAAATCAAGCAAACCCATCAGCCATAGTGTACTTTGTGCTAGAGCTTTTTAACACACTTTCTGGGAACAGATACTTTGGAGCTATGGAGCTTTGGACTTTGTGCTAGAGCTTTGGAGCTTTGGAGCTTTGGAGATTTGGAGCTTTGGAGCTTTAGAGCTTTGAAGCTTTAGAGCTTTGGTGCTTTGGGCTTTGGGCTTTGGTGCTTTGGTGCTTTGGAGTTTTGGAGCTTTGGGTTTTGGAGCTTCGGATCTTTGGAGCCTTAGTTAGTCATTTTCCTTGCTGATAGCTTGAGTACACTAGAAAAGGGTGTGTTTACATTTTGAAATTTCGATCGATCTTCGGCTCCTAAAGAATTCAATTTCTTTACAGCTTGGACCATCCCATTTACCAGGGTCAGCAACTCCGAGGATGGAGATCCACGTTCTTCGGTGTGAGCTGGAAATTCCGCAATTATCTAGCTTAGCCAATCAGCCTCCAGTTATTCCTTGGTTACGTAGAATTCAAATGTTTCGCTTATAAGGCATTTAGCGTAGCATCCTACTATAAACAAAGGAAACTTCATACGGTTTACTGTAGAAGGACGGATTACAGTGTCTCGAGTGAAGTGATAAGGTAGACTATGCCAGAATTCTAACAAAAACATCTGTCTATCCCTTTTTTTGGGGTTTTCGTCTTTTTCTCAGCATCAACCTTTTACATTTTTGAATATTTCGACTATAATTTGATTCAGAATAAAATTGCGCATCGAGATGATATCAAAACCAGCTCAAAATCTAATATCCTGCACAGAGTTATGAGGGAAAATGTGTTAAGTCCCGTCCAGAATGAGGCGAGAGTTTAGATTTTCTGCCCATGGCTTTCGCGTGGAGATTCTTGTACGATTTGTTGTTTTGAGTACTCGTTCGATGCTTACTCGATTCTGAATCAAGCGATCTTCAAAATAGAACCAAAATAGAAGTGGTTGATGCTGAGAAAAAGACTGAAGCCCTCAAGATCTCCCTTCAAAAGAAGCGATAGACGGATGTTTTTTGTTCGAGCTCTAGACTAAATCTTATGTAGTATATTCTAAATTTATTACCAGGTCAATAATATGTAAAGTTTGCTTTTTTCTTTCCCAGTCTGGCTAGTTTAAGAGCTTCCACAGTCATGCGCTAGAAGCCTTGTGTTTGCGTTCTTTCACTCTTCTCTCTAGGTCATTGTTCATTGCTTTTGAATCATTTTATTGATTTGAATATCTCTTTTTTTCAATAATTAACATCTTTTGTCTTTAAACTTTGCTTTAAAATAAAAGCTTTTGTGTGTTTTAAATAAAATAGAATTGTATTGGGTTGATGAAAAAAGTGCTTTCCGATTTTTTGGAGAGTACCTTAAATTTTGTCGAATTTTGACGTTTTTATAGCTCATTCCAAAGCTGAATTCAAGACGGATCGATTGGTAAAAACCGTTTTGAGATATCTCTTTTCTAAAAGTTTTTACAGCTATTTTAGTAAAAGGCTGGCAGAGCTAAAAAATCGCTGTTTTCACGTTTCCGTTGTTTTCCGTGCAGAAATCTAGGCTAAAAACAT